AGACGTGACAGCGACACATGCTACAGTTAGGGACCTATGCAGACGTATTGAGGGCACAGGTCACAAACTGTACATGGACAATTTCTTTTCGTCACCAGACTTGTTTGAGGAACTGATGACAAAGGACATAATGTGCTGTGGGACGGTTAGACCTAATCGGAAGGGCTTGCCTGATGATTTTTGACAAAGACAATTTCGACTGAAGAAAGGTGACATTCGTGTTAGGGTGAGATGGAACTTGACAGCACTAGTTTGGAAGGACAAACGTGACGTATACATACTGACAAACATGCACTGTCCTCCAGCAGAAGGCAGTTTCTGTGATGAGCATGGAAATGCCATCAAGCCAGCAACTGTTGCTGACTACAAGCACATGGGTTATGTCGACAAAGCGGATAGAATGGCAAACAGTTATAGCATCAGTCGTCAGACCTGGAAATGGACAAATAAACTATTTTTCCATTTCCTGGATATGACAATGCTGAACAGTTTCATCCTGTTGTCATCCTGTGGCGCGAAATTGTCACACAGAGAACTTTTTCTCGCCCTTGTGCGCAACATGCTGGTACATGCTGCAAAGGGTCCACCTCGACCTCCTGCTGTGTCATCGGCGATATCTCAATTAGAGGAGGCCTCTCAACATCACTGGCCGACTTCCTCTACTTCGAGATTGAGATGTTGTGTGTGCTCTTCGCGTAGGAAACGAAGTTACATCTGGACAAAATGTGTGAAGTGCGATGTTGGACTCTGCATTTCCGAATGTTTCCAACAGTTCCACACGAAAGCAACATTCAGTTAGATGACGCAGGAGGAAAGACAGTCTACTTATAAAGATGGTGTCCAAAAATAATGTAAGTAGAACAAGAATTTCTATCCTAAAATTAGATTTTAAAACACTGTGCGCATGCGTGGACTGTGCATACCCATACGGTGTCTTTTGGCCACTCGGCTTTACTTTAAAGGCGTCCTTCGGCTCATAAAGGTTAAGATACATGCTGTATAAAAGTTATAAAATTAGCGAAGTGTATCATTACGTATTTGTTTGCAGTGTTCAGTTGAACATGTTCAGTGTCCTAGGCTTACAAACTTCAATGGCAGTAACTAATAGAGCAACAGCTATCCACATAGACATCTTCTGTTCCTTTACAATATGAGAGTCCAAAATTATAATGAAATATTCAAAATACTGTCATACTGCTCTGGAAACAGCAGCACCTCCAAATGAATCATGAACAAAGCTACAGTTATAATTTCTGTTGAATTTGAGGTTCTCATGGTTGTGGCTATGAAGAGTGCATTCCTCTATGATGTGACATCCTGTAGTCCTGTATAAATTCTACTGAATTACATGGTGTGTCAATCCAGAGGATTCTGTTGATCAAAAGAATAGTATATGATGTGTTATAACAATTCCTTTTAAAAGAACACATCGCTTTTACAATTAAAAGCAAGGCGATGGCACTCATTCTTTGAATACAATGAAAATGCATGTGCCTTGTTTCATTGGTAGTTGCAGTACATTCTAACAGACTGAGCAACTGTAATTAGCGAACAAAATGGAATTACAAACAACATTCTAAGCAAACAGAGAGAGTCAGTGAATACCTTATTAAAGAAAAATAACTGGAGGGAGATAAAAGACTGTCAAATAATTAATCCACAGCAGAGAAGATAAAAATATAACAACCAGTAACAATGTATTATAATTCTTCTTCCACACTCAACTGTGCTGTCTGTATACATCAAGTCTAAGGTGGCCCATACACGTATGAGTCTAGCTCAGTGAGGAGCTGGGCTCAGATTAATTTCACCATGCGCATATGAGCATGGCGGCCCACACACACACACGGACGAGTTTAGCTCATTGGAACTTGAGCCGAGTCGGACTCGCGAGCTAGACTCATATGTGTATGGGCACCCTAAGAGAGGATAATAACAGAGTGCAATTTTCTGGTGACATAACATCCCCACAAGTACATAGATTTCAATTAAAAACACATTTGCTTTCAGTTTTGGCATCCATGTTCTTTTAGTCTGTTATCAGAAAATGTTGACATCTGTCACCACCCAGGACTCCCTGGCTGTTCCCCTTCATGCCTAAGACAGGATTTTATTTGTAAGAACCTTCCAATGGTGAACTCACAACAGAGATATGTAAATGAAGTCATATTCACAGACATGTCTGTGCGAGACAATAACAAGGACACTAATGCTGGTGTCACTGCCATGGCTTCATTAGCACTGTGTAACCAAACACAAACATTAACTCTCCTCACTCTACTGACATTTGTTAGCAACCACCTATACCTGTGTTCACTGTACTGGCCATGCAGATCTTTTTCAAGCAAGTGTGTGAATATCATCCATAAATTCCTTTTCTGCAAACAAAAATGTTGTTGGTATTTTACCTTTCCTAAACAAGTTACTGGATAATGCTACTTTGTGAACTACTGTTGTGCTGTTAGAATCTGTTTCAAGTCAGAAACATATCTTACTGTACTAAAAATACAAATGTCACTTTTGCAGTTCTCTTTTCAAAAAGTTAGGATACTGAGATCTGAGGTCTTCAGCAAAGAAAATTCAGATTGTGGTCTTCTTAGATATAATACTGTATAGTCTTGTAGGCACTTACTGATGTTCCAGGGGCACCCACTGCTTTAATAAACCAACATGAAAATGTAAGCAGAAGGCCTCATAGGTGGTTACCAAAGTTCCAGGGGAACCTGTACCCTCCATCTTCAAAGTAGAATATACAGGCAGTATGTTCCTTCTAAACATTGTAGCCACCTATGAGACTACACTGTTGTGTCATCTTGCAGTAATCAGAAATTACTTTCACAGGACTATTTAATTTAAACTATGATTAAATACACCCACACACAAACATTAGGTATGCAAGGTATGACTTGTTATAATATCTGGTGACTTCAGAACTGACGCTGTTAAATCCACTGGCTGAATGTTTGTTGGGGGTTCATTCTGATGCAGCAGGGAAACTGAAGCATGTGTTAACGACTCAGCAGTAATCTGGAGTTTCTCCATCCTAACATTGTGTTGGGGTTTCTTAATGTACTTACACTTTAGTACATTTATCACAAACTGCACAAAACTGTTGACAAAACCTGCAAAAGAATATTATGGTTACTGATGACCTCAGGCATTCATGGCTGTTAAACGCAAATGTGAAACCTCTTTCAGAGATGGAGATCTCCGAAATGTCAGCACACCCACATCTACATAATGCCTTCATCCCAAAGCAGGATCTATGTTATGGTTATTTAAACAGATATGTTGTTTGCTATTTTGCATGTCTAATTGGCCTTGATTTTAAATTCAGTCCTATTTATGTAATGCCTTGAGAGCATTCAGGAAAGTCCCAGCAAATTTGTTGCTAGCCAAACAGCAATAATCTAGTGGTATAATTGCTACTTTCAAGCCTCCAGATAGGCTCTGTGTACCAGCATTTTCTTCAGCAACGATATGACATCCTGCTGAAACACTGGGATCAGAGCCTATTCAGTGAGAACCAGGTGCCACAGGAAGGTGACACTGATGACGGAATAAGAGGGGTTATAAGAAATGCATCCTACCGTTATTCTGTTTTTAATACCTGTAACAGGTTTCACCAGGCATAATACTGAAAAGAATGATGATGAATTGGCTTTCATATTCTTTTAGTGCAGATGCAAATCTACTGTAGGAAAACTAAAGACCTACAGATATCACACTGCACAGAAATCAAAATTATTTTCCTTATATTTCATTATATATCCATTATATTAAAAAAAGTATTTCATATAAAATGTATCTTGGGTGATCCGTATTTAACTTTTTATACCCAAATACGGCAATGAATTTTCACATTTCAAAAATGGAATTGTTTTATCAATGCATTATGTAATTCATCATAAACTTCACAGCAAGGAACCCATTAAACAACATTATGATGGAACTTCGTTCCTTTTTTCACCTGTATAAGAATCTTGATTGATTTGTTATTGTCTCCCTTAACAATTCTTTCAGTTGCTCAGCTCCTACATCACTGAACACTGAATAATGAACTGGAAAGGATGTAGGAGAGGTCATGGGATAATTTTTAAGGTATTATTCCACCACCTCCTTGGATTGGACAGAGATCAACCCTAGGAGCTTCCATATATGATGGAGTGTTAACCATTCAGCATGGTTTGACGTGTATGTTTCGTCAGGTATTTAAATCGTCTGGGGGGGTTCGACGTGTATGTTTCGTCCAGCTGCACACCTATGTTATAACGCCCATAATAATTGATGGTTTTGCTGTAGATTGTTAGATTTTTCGCTGGCCTGTTGTCAGGAGAACTGTATTTAATGACACACGAGTTTAAGAGCGCTAAGTCATCGTTACATATGCCTGTCTTGCAGCAANAAGGGTTAATCATCTGACTGTGGTATTCAATATGTCGTTATCCCTGAAAGAGAAAAATTGTGTGATTCTATTATCACTCACCTGATATAACACATATTCCTGAGATAGTGGCACAAAGCCTGACAATGAATTGGATTGGAGAATCTCTTTCCTGTGTCACCTGCACTTTAAGGGCACTCATGTCATACTTGAAAAATATTCCTGGTATACCATGAGATCCCTTGTGATGATCAATGTGACGTTCATGATCCTTCACTGAGTACTGGTAAGTAGTGAGTCGACTCAAGAACGTGTTCACTTCTGTTGGTACAACATCCACAAAATACTGGAACAGCATGGTATCTACAAATTACAAATATACGTTGTAATTAAAAATCAGTATAACATAAGCAAATGATATTTACGTTCCCTTAGAGGTGGATTTAAAGGTTATGATATTCTGAGAAGTGACTCTGCAGTTTGGTAGATAGGTATCAACATTCTGATGGAACTACTTCCATCTTCTAGACAGAAGTTGGAGGCAGCAAGTTACTCTGAAACACTAGATACCTGTCTACTAAAGGGAAATGTGTTACATACCAGAAAATCATAATCTTAATAAAAAAAAAAAGCCCAGGGAATCCATGCAATGCTGTCTTCTTGCATGTAGAACAACTGAAAATAGATGTCAAGGGAGGCATCATTTAACTCTTTGACTGGTGCGAAGGGTATTTAAATCCCACCCCTGTCCTGGCAGGCCATTTAAGCCTTAAGTCGCTAAAATGCATGTGTTTACTTTTTTCTAAATAACTTCAACAAAAATTGGGTTTTAAATACGAAATTTTCAGGAACTAATAAAAAGATAATATTTTATGCAAGAAATGTCTTTCCATACCTTTTTAGTAGTTTTTCTTCGTGTGATAAACATTGAAACATGAAAGTTTGCAGAGAGCCACACCACAGCTTGCACACATGACACTTGTTTCTTTTCTAATCTTATGCTTAGCACACACTCGACACTTTCTCATGGCACCATTCTTCTTATTGTTACTGGGAGGAACATGGACCATTTTGTGAACTTTCAAGCCACCCTCTAGACGATTTTCTGGGTCTTTCACTGGTGGTCTTCTCAAGGTCGCGGGCGGAGGCGTGACTGCACTCGAGTCTGACGCATTAGATTCGTCATCCACTTCATTCCTTGACTCTTCTCCCTCTCCACACTGTTTGTTTGGTTCTGTCATTTTTTCTACACAGTCCAATACAAAATCTTTGAATTTGTAATTTCTCTTCTTGTATTTTTTGTTTCTTGTGTTCTTTTTGAATAGAATGAAACTAGTCAACGCTGCCATTTGCAACAAGAAAAACACCAGTTTCTTTGTCCACTTCACAGTTTTGCGGGAACAAGGATAATAATGCAGCATTTGATCGGCCCTGTCAACCCCTCTCATATGTTTATTGTAGTCCCCAATTACCTCGGGTCTGCATATTTTTTCTCCTTTGCGATTCGTTTTTGCAGATTCCACGATTTTTGCTGTGTGAAGAGTGGAGATAAGTTTGACGTCTCTTTTATCTCTCCACACCTGTATGAGAACCTGCCCCTTCCTAGAAAACACAGATTCCCCTTTTTTTCAAATTTTTTACGTCATCCTTTAGATCATTCCTTTGTCCATTCTGAAGGTTCCACACACATAGGTATTTCTCTGTCATAACGTCTCACACAATTCTACACTATTGTAATAGTTATCCTGGTAGAGATGATACCCTTTATCTAGAAGCTGTGGCCTCAACAGATCGACAACTAATTCCTTTATAGGTCTTGATTTTCCGCAATAAATTTCAAAATTCCAAATATATCCACTTGTCAATTCACAAACAAGATAAGCCTTTATACCGTACTTATCAGGTTTATCAGGCATATATATACTCGGATGATAAGACATCCTTTCCAAGCGATCATTCCTTCATCTATTGCAATTTCCTTTTCAGGGATAAGTGCTGGTAAGCATAGTGATTGGTTTCAGTTGTGATGTGATTTACTAAGTCGTCATCCAGAAAAATTTTAATCCATGAAAAGGGGTGCATTTTATGTGTTATATCAATTTTGATCCCGGAACTACTAGTAAATGGAACTATTGTTGGTACAATGTCTCCGTATGTCCATGAGATGGGCGTGTCAGGCACCGCACTCGTGGTAGGTAACTGTTCATGATTACTGTCTTGTGGATCATTGTCTATCACTGTATTATTGTCACTATCAACTTCATCTAATTCAGGAATCATTATTTCATCGCCACTATCATCATTAGCACAAATCTCATTCACAACACTTTCCAGCTGGTCTGTAGGAACACTCCGACACTTGCTGCAAGAAGCCATGGTGAACCTGAAGGAATGTGAAATATTTTCTGACCTTTTCCTTCTCGGAGGGTTCTGACAGTAATATAGACCCCCACAAAGTTAACAAGGGTTCTTTACAACCATGCACAAGAACTATCATATATATGTCTTTGGTTTATGAGTGCCAAAAGAGCATAGAAGGGAAGAGTTTATCAAAGGGCTAAAACATGCCAACGCCAGGGAATGGCTGGCATCATCTGGGCGTTAAAACGCGCCCGCGCCAGTCAAAGAGTTAACTGACAGGACCAATTCCTGAAGAAATTCAAACCACAACAAAGCTGTGTTTTTAAGCTCCTATATATAAATTACATAAAAGTATCTTATAACATTATCTTACTCTTGAATTAAACAAATCAAAACACTCAGAATCCCACATATTAATTTTTACTACTCACCTAATATTATTCACTCATTCATGGACCTGAGCCATTCTTGAGAAGCCAACCAATTGTGCAGCTATTCAAGAACTCCCCAGCATTTTATGGAACCTCAAGGTTCATTATCATATTCATAAGAGCCCTCCATTGGTCCCTATCCTGAGCCACAACAGCCCAATCCATACCATCTCTCTAACATCCATTTTAATATTGTCCACCCACCTATGTCTTTGGCTTCCTAGTGGCCTCTTTCCTTCTGGCTTTCCCACCAACATCAAATATGAATTCCTCCTCTCTCCCATTCATGCTACATACCCCGCCCATCTCATCCTCCTTGACTTGGATCATTCTACTCGTAATTATATTTAGAGAAGAGTACAAGTTATGAAGTTCCTCATTATGTAGTTTTCTCCAACCTCCCATCACTTCATCTCTCTTCGGTCCAGATACTCTCTCTAACACCCTCAGTCTATGTTCTTTCCTTAATGCCAGTAACCAAGTTTCACACCCATACAGAACCAGAGGCAAAATTATACTTTTGTACACCCTAATTTTTTATGTTTTTAGACAGGAGATGAGAAGACAACAGTAGCAAGCATACCCAAATTCAATCTCCTTTTAATTTCCTCCTGAATCAGGTTTTGATTTGTTATAGTCATTCCCAAATATCTGAACTGTGCCACATTTTCAAAACTCTGTTAGCTATCTTTATTTCATGATTTTGCCCTGCATTCTGGTGACAAGACAGCAACATATGCTTAACTTTCTTTGTGTTTACTTCTTGAACAACCTCCTTACTAGCATCAATTGAAGTTTGTGTGTTCATCTTTATGGTATCTTTATTATCACTAGGGACCAGATTTTAATGCAAATGCATATTTCTTTCTTGCAACCAGAAAGTATGCTCATTTGGATATATGTATGAATTACTTCATTTCTTAAATTTTGGACATGGTTTGATGGTGCATATAAATGCATATTTTGCCTGTTTTATGAATAAGCATCTTATCTTCGAAGATCTCAATTTATATTGCATATTTCCTTTTTAAAATGTTTATCATATATACTTTTTAATTTTATGTTCAAATTTTCAATCAATTTTTCTTTTCCAT